TGAGTTTCACTTTTTCAATTGAATTATTGAAATTAACCACAATATTCTAATTTATTGAGATGCACCTGTAATGACGTTCTGATAGGTTGACAGTTGAGGAGGAACCATGGAAGGTGAACATAATGGTTTCTGAGCTCAAAAAGAAGAATAAATAAATGAAACACTGAATAGCGACATCCACAACAATGACATGAGGATGTTAAACTCACACATAAAAACACACAGGACACAGTCTTACCTCTGACTTAGCTGAAGGCAAGCAATCAAAGCGGCTTCCTACCATCTACTCCATTCAGACAGACAGACAGGTAAACAGGCAGACACAGACAGACAAAACAAAAAGAAAAGGACAGCTGGTCTAAAAGGTCAAGTTTAGCACTCACAGATATAATACTAACAGTGTTATTGGATACACTGACTGTAGTCTAATGACAACAGTACTGAGCTCCAACCAGGATGGATATTCACTCTGAACGTCAACCAGATCAAACATGTGTCTGTAACTTCACTTCACTTCACTGTCTTTGTCTGTTCTCCCATCAGTTTTATTTGTCTGCCCCACGCTGATTAGTTTCACCTGTGTGTAGTTATCCTCCTCTTGTCAGTGTATGTAGTCTGTGGGTTTTTTTGTTTCATTGTTACTTCATCTTTGCGTGTTTTCCAGTGTTTTTGGACTTTGTAATTTATATATTCTGGATTTATTGTCTTTTGGACTTGTTTGCCTGTTGGCCTTCTTGGTTTTGACTTTTAGTCTGCAGTATCCGTAAACTCCCTCCCTTTGTTTAAATAAACCATTGAGGTGATCCCATCTGCCTGCTGCTGTCCAATCCCTCCTGTTCCTTGTTACTCTGCATGATTTGTGACACATCAGGACTAGGACTTGCGGCATTGCGAGTATGTAGGCTTCAGCCTTTCTGCCAGAAAATGCTTCCTGGCAAAAAGTGGAGTTTACTGATGTCTACAAATGACCGTTACCCAGAGTATGAAGCCAAAGCTAACATTACTGCAGAGCTTGAGGAATATTATTAATGACAATATTGTCATATTATGGTTTTAACTGGCTAATGTTAACATGCTTGCTATCACAGACAAATTGCTAGCTAGCTAATGTAACAAGATAATTAGCTATACACCATACCCTATAATTTATTGTTGGCTAAAGGTTGACAAAGATTAGCTGGGGAAGCTAACCCTAGTGAACTAACATATCCACTCAGATAGTATTTTACTAGGGATAATGTCAGCAAGCAAGTTAGCTAAGCTTAGTGAGCCTACAACCCAGTGAATAAAGTTATCCGGCCCTGGCTTCCCCGCAACGCCGGCTGACAACGTGACCTGTAAACTCTCGTTAGCTTCCCCAGCGTTCAGTCTAATGTATGTCATGTTACTGTTCTGGCCAATGACTATGATGGCGCGAGTGTTACAGTTAGCTTAGCACCACTAGCTACTGCACAACTGTCTCTGTCTGATAGCAGTTAGGCTCCGCCCACAAAATACATCATTACTGTTTACAAACCCAAAAGACATCTATGGCAGGGGTGCAGGGATGGAGTAAGTATTTTAATGTTGTATTTTAATGTTAACTGCGCCTTTCTCTTTAAAGTTGTAGAGGCTGATGATCTTCATCAAACCAGGTCTCATCAATGATGCTGACGTCCCTGAAGTCCCTCTCCATTATGCATTTAGCATGTAGTGCATCTACTTTATTGTGGAGAGGCCTTATATTTGACAGGAAGATGTAGGGAAGAGGTCTGAAGGATCATCTTGTCAGCCTGTTGCAGCCTGTACCCCTTGTCCTCTACCTCTGTCGCTCAATCAAATATCCAACAGGAGGACAGCAGATGGTTGAAGAAGACCAGAGTGGGAGCAGTTCTCGTCCCATCTGTAGGTAAGTACAGTGCTGCATAGGACTACCGGTCATAGCAAAAACTGTCACTAATGATCCAGATTCTCTTAATCATCTTAAGCTGACAGCAGAGGCAGCAGAGGTACACATATTTAAACAACAGAAACTAGAAAGCCCTATAATAGACAGGAGAGAACCTGATGGGACACACAGACTGTCATCACTAACACACTCAGTTCAGACTTGCATACTCTTCTGTTCACCAGGTGTACTCAGACCCCAGTCTGCCCCATATTACCCCATTATTTCCACAGTCTGTGTACCTGGGCAGTAACTAATGTGTCTCTAATCGCTCTTTTTGTTTTTCCTCCAATCAGCAACCTCTCTGGCTGCAAATGAATCCAACACTGCAGTACCAAAACCCTGCAGTTCCTTTAAAGTCCACTAGAGGCTCCAACATTGAGTCAGTCTCCATAAGGCTTTGTGTTACAATGTAGAAATAAACACAACTCCCCCCTTTAAATTCAAGTTTTGCATAATTATGGGCGTGACGGTGGTTGAGTGACAGATGGGTGCCATCACAGGCAGCTGTTTTCAGTAACCAGGCTTCTTTCAGCCTCAGCTTCCCACACTGCACCTCCACGTCCATTTTTGGATTAGCCAGGAGCCAGTGGTTGCCAAGATTGCAACATCCAGAGCCCACCACAATACGTACGTTAAGTCCCCTTTAAACTAACTGCTTTTATTTTACTAATCAAACACTGGGTGACTTTTAGGTTTGTTTTTAAAGTATTGGAGGCTTTCTAAATCCTTCCAATATGTTACTGTGTTATGTGATTGATCTGTGATCAGCGTGATCAGAGGGATCCTGTCAGACCTGCTGCTGATTCATTTCTGACTGACAGGAAGTAGAGCTTCACTCTGTGTGTGACTGCGAGACTGAATCAATGGATAACAACCATGATGGAAAAATCTTTACCTTCACCCTGAACACACACACACAGAGAGAGAGAGAGAGAGAGATGATTGATTGTGGACAGGAAGTGGGTCATGTATTAGTGATTGATGAGTAGCAGAAAGAACATCAGCAGCACTGATACGCTCACTGTAGTTTTATATATATGTAATAATGTATGTAATATATGTTCAAAATAACTTATCATTGTTAAAAACAGAGTTACAAGCTATTTGAGGGGAAATTGAAGTAAATGGATTCCATGGTTCTATGGTTGTTGGTTCAATCCCCAGCTCCTCTTGCTGCATGTCAAAGTAAGCTTGAGCAAGATACTGAACCCCAAATTGCTCCTGATGCTGTGTCAGTGGTTGTGAATGTGAATGAATGAGTGGTTGGAAGACTAGAAAGGAAGAATGCAGCTAAATAATGCTTCAAAGGTAGAATATATTTTGCCGATGGAAAAACTGACCTCTGACCTCAAGATATCTGAATGAAAATGGGTTCTACGGGAACCCACAAGTATCCCCTTTACAGACACTTGCACCCTTGCTGTTTTTTGTTTGCAGTATGAATGTGTTTCTGCATGCTGGGGTCCATATACAGTATTGAACTGTATTAATGTTGTATGACTGGAAAGATGAAACTGTTGTGGAGTCAATGAGTCCAACTGTTTTTGTGCTTTCTCGTCTCGCAGGGCAGGTTCTCATGGATTCTGGTTGTGCCTGCTGCCAATATTATTATTATTGTTATTCTCTGTCCTTCTGTCATTACCCCTCTACCCCCCCAGAAACCAGATACCCAACATCTATAACAGGCCTGACATCACAAATAATCAATATGAAAC